AATGGAAAATTATCTGCTTGAAAAGTTTTACCTAAAAACCATTCAAATCACTTGTTCTAAAGACTTGTCAGACACCGTCCCACCCCATACACATGACTCCGTTTCAACAAAACATTAAAATATTCTATATCATTTCTAAACCTTCTGTATTGTGCTCTTGACGGCTACAACATCTAAAACTAACCACGGGTGGGTCTATTATCAAGGCCAGTAAAAGAAAAGTTTCAGCTTTTCTGCTTTTTTTGTATGAATGTAGGAAACTGAGCATCAGTAGCTTCTCATGCTAGCTGCTTAACCACTTGCCTACTGGGCACTTTCACTCCCTTCCAGCGCAGGCCAGTTTTCAGCTTTCAGTGCTGTTGCACTTTGAATGACAATTGACGGTTCATGCAACACTGTACCCATATGAAATTTTTATAATTTTTCACATAAACAGAGCTTTCTTTTGGTAGCATTTAATCATCACTGGGTGCTTTATTTTTTGCTAAACAACAAGGAAAAAAGGTCGAAAATTCTAAAAAAAAAAAGTCTTTGTTTTTATTATAATATTTTGCAAACAGGTAATTTTTTGTCCATTACTGTGCACTGATGAGGCTGCACTGATAGGCACTGATAGACAGCAATGATGAGCACTGATAGGCAGTACTGATGGGCACTGATGAGATGGCACTGTACGCAGCACTGATGAGGCGACACTGGTGGGCACTGATGAGGAGACACTGATGAGGCTGCACTGATATTCGGTACTGATGGGCACTGATAGGCAGAAATGATGGACACTAATAGGCAGCACTGAAGGGCACTGACTGGTGGTACTGACTGACGGCACTCATAGGTGGCACTGATGGGCACAGATTGGCAGCACTGATGAGCACAGATTGGCAGCACTGCTGGGAACCTATGGGCATCACTGTTGGACACTGATTGATTTTGGGGTTGCACTGATAACCAGGGCACTGATAATCAGTGCCCTGAATATCGGTGTAGATGTCTGCTGTCACAGTTGCCGGTTATCAGCAGTACTTTCCTTATGCTGTGACATATATTTACATGGTGATCAGCTATAATTGGACACAGTTGACCACTTGGTAAAAGGCCTCTGTGATTGGCCCTTTACCATGTCATGTGATCAGCTATTACACACAGCAATTACAGATAGCGGCATGTGCGCGCCGCTGGGGTGCAGGGGGAATGCGTTCTGGGAGGACGCCATGTGGCGCCCTCCCAGAACTGGACGACTGCGCTGTAGCCATCATTCAGCTATAGTACGGTCAAGAGGTGGTTAAAGGTGCAGTCCATTAAACATTTACACTTTAGAATGTATATAGTGGTAACGCAGCCTGATTACCAGGATCTTTTGTAATACGTTATACCTGATAACAACTGCAGTTCTTCAGTGTGGTATATTATGCTGGAAAGACCTCAGTGATCAGTTTCCATTTTTAACCAAGCTCAATGTGAGTGCAGGGTGCTCCCTTGGGCATATTTCTGTGATCTGAAGCAAGGTACAAATAATACTAAGATGAATATTAAGTACCAATATTTTAGCTTACTCTGCTCACCTGCTGATTAAACTGATCCCTGCAGTTTCAATTTGTGAACATTAAGCTACTTCTGCTGAAATAAATGTACCCATGGGACAGTTAGAATGCAGCTAAATAAACTTTGTGCTCAACTTCCCATTCCCAGCAGTAGCAGTGTGTGAGCCTCATGTTCTTCTTGCTAACATAAAAAAGCCTGAATGAGAGTAGAGATGAGGTTCAGATTGAACCCAGCCTGTTTGCAGCTTGGCAAATGTGCAAACAAACTGGCCATTTGTTACCAATTCAAATAGAAAACAATGGGGACTGTAGAGGAAATTACTGACACCATAATATAGAATATTATTTTTTTTTATTCAAAAATCCTTTTCAAACATTAGACCAAAGTGAGGATAAAAACATCACTTGAAGAATGGGATCCATTAACAAGACCATAGATAACAATATAAAGTAAACACAGAAATGAGAACCAAAGTCTACATGTTTCGCAGTTAAACATTTGCTTCTTCAGGACTTTTTCAGGTCTCACATGTGTAATGTTACAGCCTAACGCAAAATCAAAAAGAACAAATCCTAATATACAGTACAAAATAAAGTAATTTTTTTACCAGTTCTCACTACCATTACAAAATGGCATAACAGGCCCCCCACGGCTCTTGTTTGTAAACAAGCAGGCAAGGAACTTAGGTGATATCATTTGCAATGGAGGTAACTGCGAGTGAAGATTGTTGGCATTGGATTTACAATGCCTATTTTTTTTTTTTTTTAGCAAAGGTTTTTTTTTCACTGTGTTCATGTTATTTGCTATTTGTATTTCTTTGTAAATGAGTAACAAAAGGTACAAGGGTCTACAGCAGGGGGGTCAAACTGGCGGCGGCCCTCCAGCTGTTGCGGAACTACAGATCCCATGAGGCCTTGCAAGGCTGACAGTTACAAACATTAATGAATTAAAACTCATAAATTTCCCACATGAAAAGTCAACCTTTCACCCTTGAAAGTGCATAAACAAATTACCTTTTCATAAACTACAAACAAATACCATAATCTCATATACGCAAAATAATGTCCATCACAAGTCCCATAAGATCCAAAAATTATAGTCCAAAAAAACTTTTAAAGTTATAAATTGTGCAAATGATACTCCTCCCTTCTTCAATCTTCCAAAGTGTGACAATATCCAAATCTTCCCTTTAATCCAAACAGTACCTCAAAAAAATAAACTGAATTGGTGCATTATCTTTTATAATCAATAAATGTGATAGCATGCAACACACTAGTGACACAACATCACGCATGTGAAGTGAAAAACACAGCACACCACTTAAATAGTGGTCCTGTAGAACTACCACTGCAAAACGTGACAATCTTCAAAACACACTGAGTGATCAGTGAAAAATAGTGTCAGATACGTGCCACTCCACGTGTAGGATAAATACAATTACCCCCTTCAGCTTTGTGCCACATATAGTTGCCTTCACTGGGGGTGTGTCATCCTTAACAGTAGTAGACAATAAAACTTCCTCACACAATGACGGGCATTGGGATCCCCGTTCCTCACAGAACAAATGGGAGCAGACTCAGTGGAGTAGTACAAATGGTAACAAAATTTATTAACAACAGCTTACATGATAAAATTGCCGTCCTGAGACCTTCTCCAAAATGGCCGCTCTGCACCTTCCGGCCTAGCGTCTGATGTCACGACCCTCTGACCCTCTAAGGGTCGTGACGTCAGACGCTAGGCCGGAAGGTGCAGAGCGGCCATTTTGGAGAAGGTCTCAGCAGAGCACGGAGACCAGCGAGGATGGATGGCAATTTTATCATGTAAGCTGTTGTTAATAAATTTTGTTACCATTTGTACTACTCCACTGAGTCTGCTCCCATTTGTTCTGTGAGGAACGGGGATCCCGATGCCCGTCATTGTGTGAGGAAGTTTTATTGTCTACTACTGTTAAGGATGACACACCCCCAGTGAAGGCAATATATGTGGCACAAAGCTGAAGGGGGTAATTGTATTTATCCTACACGTGGAGTGGCACGTATCTGACACTATTTTTCACTGATCACTCAGTGTGTTCTGAAGATTGTCACGTTTTGCAGTGGTAGTTCTACAGGACCACTATTTAAGTGGTGTGCTGTGTTTTTCACTTCACATGCGTGATGTTGTGTCACTAGTGTGTTGCATGCTATCACATTTATTGATTATAAAAGATAATTCACCATATTCAGTTTATTTTTTTGAGGTACTGTTTGGATTAAAGGGAAGATTTGGATATTGTCACACTTTGGAAGATTGAAGAAGGGAGGAGTATCATTTGCACAATTTATAACTTTAAAAGTTTTTTTGGACTATAATTTTTGGATCTTATGGGACTTGTGATGGACATTATTTTGCGTATATGAGATTATGGTATTTGTTTGTAGTTTATGAAAAGGTAATTTGTTCAGTTACAAACATTGCTATGATAATAATAACAAAGTGCAGCGCTGAGAAATTTGTGTAAATAGTAAAAAGTCCGTAGTTATCAACTACGTATCCCCTCTGATGATGTGCTTGGGCACGAAAGGCCTTAGGAGGAACCGACAGAGCATGACGTCATCTTCTGCCCGGAGCCACGAGACAGCCCCGCGGCCATTTTAACTCAGGGTTAGTACCATTGCTGCGTACTCTGCTTTCATTTATGTACTGTACACAGCCTTACTACCCTGCCTGTCATTTTGAGTTACATATAATAAACTTATTATAAAATACTACACTATGGGCACCTGTTTCTTGGTTCCCATTGGGAGCTAAATCCATTGCAGGGTCCCTGTAGTACTCACCTATCGCCACCAGAGGGACGGAGCTGTTGGAGTCTGGCTGAAAATCACACCAACCTTAAGGGGACCTCCGGATCTCTGATATATCTTCCCAGGCTGACTGATCCTATATATTGGAATTCACCCTCTCCATCTACTCTAGGATTCCAGGAGTTATTCATTCATGCGCATTTTCCATGCGCGTCCGGTGAGTGCGCACTCTTTCCATTGCTTCCTGGTCTTCATCAGCTTGTTCTTGGGACTATATTTTTATATGTAGTTGATAACTACGGACTTTTTACTATTTACACAAATTTCTCAGCGCTGCACTTTGTTATTATTATTCTGCTGTTTACGGGTACACTGTGATTACCTCTAGTGCTAGCTGCTTGGTTAGGAGCACTCACTTTATACCATCCTTATCCATTGCTATGATAGTAAGAGGCATGATGGGGCTTGTAGTTCCGCAACAGCTGGAGGGCCACCAGTTTGAAACCCCTGGTCTAAAGGTATGTCAATAGGTAGGCCTATAACCGCTTCCCGACCACCCTATAGCAGAAATTCTGCTACAGGGTGACACAGGTGCGCAACATCACATGTATATATATGTGATTTTGCATTTCCTGGCAGGGGGCATGTGCAAGGTGTGCATGCACCATACCCGTGCCTCCATTCAAAGCTGTGGCTGTCAATCACCCGGTCCCAGCCAGTGATTATTCGCTGGTGCCCAGTGATTGCTAAGGAACTCCTACGGGAAGAAGAACTGTTTAAAAACAAAGCAGTTCTCCTCCCTGTCAGCTCACGCACACTGCTTTGCATGGCTGTGCATAGGACAGCCATACAAAGCAGTGTGCTTGCAGTGAAGCACAAACACATGGACCCATAGTAAAACACACCCAGCACACAGTTAACCCTTTGATCGCCTCTTATGTTAACCCCTTCCTGCCCAGTGCCATTAGCACAGTGCCAGTGTTTTTCTTTGCAGTAAAGGATGTTTAGTGAGCGCTACCTAAGAATAGAAATGAAAGTGTGTATATATATATATATATATATATATATATATATATATACATATACACACAACAATGTTAATAAGCTGCTGATACACCGAAAAAGGTAACCAAGAAAAACCTCCAATAATACATGTAAGTCAAGATAAAGTGGTGCAGCGCTAAATGTTAATACATGATTAATACATACAATATATGTTAATTCAAACTTAAGCGAATAGGTGATATCACTCTGAAGGTGATCATTGAATATTTATAATAGTTCAATGTGGTGGTGTGGATCATAAAGGGATCACAGTTCCAGGTGAGTGGACGTCCTGATCCGGGAGTGATAATTAGTGCAAACCACACATATTGGTGAAAAACGCACTCACCAGATGTGCGCTTAAAATACGCAATATATAATCCTGCGTCACCAGGCCATAGATCGGTCATCAGGTCTCAGATCGGGTTGTCCACAGATCACCATCCAGGTTCCACAGAAACAAGGTCACCAGAAACCGCTACCAGGTATCACCACCAGGGTCATGATTCCTCCAGATGGGCACTGCGAATGATGGCACTCACACAGAGTGCCCAATAAGAGACCACATAGCGTGATACTGCTTAAGGTACCTTTATTCAGGGATGGTGAGCGTATAATACATGAAAAAGTATTTTAAAAAAGAGTTACTGACCATAGATTCCAAGATGTGGTTAGATGTCCTGTTGCTGCTGCCCCCCTGCAGCAGCAACAGGACCTTTAGCACTGATCACTGTATTGGTGTCACTGGGGATGTCAGTGACACCAAGTAAGTTCCCCCCGTGTCAGAATGCCCGCCGCAGTCCCGCTATGTCTCTGATTGCCACCATTACTAGTAAAAGTAAAAAATAAAAACCAAAATTCCAGTATATATACCGCCATTTGCAAACACTATAACTTTCATGTAAACTAATTAATTTACAAATATTGGGATTTTTTAGCAAAAACATGTAGCAGAATACATTTTGGCCTAAATTAGATTTTTTTTTTACTGGACATGTTTAATAGCAAAAAGTCAAAAATATTGTTTTTTTTCTCAAAATTATTGGTCTTTTTATTTTAGAGCGCAAAAAATAAAAAACACACAATCAAATACCACCGAAAGAAAGCTCAATTAGTGGGAAAAAAAGGACATAATTTAATTTGGGTGCAGCGTTGCATGACCGCGCAATTGTCAAAGTAACACAAAAGATGGCCTGGTCAGGAAGGGGGGGGGGGGGTAAATCCTCATGAGGGAAAGTGGTTAAGCAGAGCTGCCCAGGTGATTTATGTCTGCATCCAGAAGATCGCTACCAGTGTAACCAGAATGGAAGTATCAGTTTAGGCTGATGAGGAGGTAAATAGAACTGGATCATGGCATATGAGATCCTGTGGAATCCAGCTGGTGATAGTTAACTGACATCTGGCTGGATTTTAACTTCTGTTTTAAATTATGTCAGTGTGTCAGTACCTCCAAGTTGGCAGACAAGCTCAATAATATGTATTAAAAAAGTTTTTTTCAAGTACTGTATCTGCTAACAGCAGCAAGACTTATTATCCTTCTGCAATGAATACCTCAACTACATTTGCTGTACTTCATTAACCAAATGGGTCAACGGTAGGCTTTATTTAAGAATTAAGAATCCAAAATGTTATATCAGCCCCTGAGGTGTTTAGCTAGTCTATTGCAAAAAAAAATTAAATTACTTGCCACTGGTTCTTGCTGTTCACGGTAAAAACACGGAACTTAATTTGGTCTGCTTTCCACAGACAATAGCACATTTAGGGTCTGTAAAGTTAGATAAGAACGATTGCATAAGTCCAGTTTTCTCTGCTATAGTATTGGCTTTGTACCCATCCTCCCTTCTCCCCCAGCATTATCTGTGAAATCTGTGTACTATTCCTACTTTCTGAATGCAATGTTTAGACTACCAGAGAGTACTCCAAATATTCGAGGTAAAAAAAAAAACTCAGAAAATCAAGGCGTATCTTTATTCTGAGCTAGTTTTAGAGAGTATAAATGTTTTTAATCAAAAAATTTCAAAGAGATGTTTAAAAAAAGAAATCAGTGCATTTTGTGAAGCTTCTGAGTAAGACATAGGTAGGCAAACTTGGAGTTATAGGAAGAGTTAATGATCTCCTCATGCCTGCTACCTTTGACCATGATTGACTAAAGGAGTAGAGCAGTTTCACTCATAACATGCATTTCTGCTTTGCAAAGTGAATTTTCACTTATCATAGTGAACGGAGTGATACAAAATAGAAATTCACTTTACAATGAATATTCAATCGTGCAAGGAAAATCCTGATTTTTTTTTTTAATTTACTTGCACTTGATTGGATATTCATTGCATGGTGAAATTTTACTGTTTTCACCCCATTTACTAAGATAAGTGAAAGTTCACTTTGCAAAGCAAAAATTCACTGTGACTGTTAATATACTCTTCTACTTTAGTAAATCAATGCATTTTCAGGCCAAATAAGCATCAGAGAGAAATAACAATGCAAATAACAGTCTGATAAGAGGATGTCATCTCTGGGGACATTTGATGTTGACTGATATGATATTTCTTAGAATATTTTTAGTCCTGGTATTTTTTAATTGTAATATTCATTCTAATGACAGTCCTATTCTATGTATTTATTCTACATATCCATGCCCAGGTGATAAAAAAGGAAATAAACAGATGGGTCTATTTATCCATCTTTTAACAACAATCACACAACATTAACTCAAAATTCTCTAATGTTTAATAATTAAATACCTGAATAATGTAATAGAAATAATATGACTCTTATGTCAAAGTGAGGGAATCCTGGGTGAAAGTTAAGTTATTCTTGTGTGAAAAAATGGATAAATAAACCATTAAGTATTAACTGTAATAATTGCACACATGATTTAATCACAGCAAGCAAGGCCTTGATAAAATTAAATATATTTTTATCTAGCTAAAAGAATTGGACATCGGTGACTGATAATCAAAAATTATTTTCAGCTCACTACTTTGTTTTATGTTTTGAAACTTGGATGTTGTTTTGTCCTTTGTTACATGGATGTTGGCAGGTATTTTAAATCTTATAATGAAAACCTGAAACCTTTTTCAATCCCAAGTGGGTGAAAATGTAGCAGCAATTACTTGTATCACCTCTTATGTATTATGTATGCAGAAAATGTAAATGTGTAGCTGCCTTACCTGAAAGGAATACCGTACAATACTGTAAATAAATAAAATTAAAATACATTTATTAACACTATACTTAATGTTCTTACACTAGATGCTGCAATTTTCTGACAAGGCATCAATGTATATTATAATAGTCTTGCATCATGATAATAAAGGATGATGTGCAGGTGCTCAATATCCTCCTTATCAACTGATCGCATCATTGGTTGTTAGGACACTGGCAGCTGGAAGCTGATGTTGTCTCGGTCACAAGCATGCATCACAGATCCCAAATGACAGGAACTCACCAGAGCTTTCCCTTCTGAATGACAGACAGGAAAGTAAGCTCTTGCAGGCAAACAAGAACAGCTGTTGCCTAGAAGAAAGAACAAGCTTATGAGAATTTATCAGAAATAGCATACGTGGAGGAGGTGGATGGTAGCAGAGATGGTAATCATGTGGCAATAGTCACATGATGAAGTCCGGAAGTGACGAAACGCATTAGAGGATGTGACGTCAAGACGCACGCATGCTAACTGGAAGTGTCGCCGCGGCCATTTTGTTGGTTGCCTACACATGGTTTTCAGCTAGTGTTTGCAGAGCTATTACAGAGCCACTGAGAAAGCCATTGAGAGAGCTGGAAGTTCCTTATTTTAATGTAACTTATGAATAAATTTGTCCCTATACTTTTGAGATCCGTCTAAGAGTCTTGTTACTTTTATGAGGACTTTGGAGGAGTACCCCTGAAGCAAAGGAATGGGAAGAGTCTGACTCCATAGTATTGACTATGCATATGAATACTCACAAGAGTGTAATAATATTTAGCATCACTGTTGGTTGGATCACAGAGTGCACACAATATTGGAGTGATCACTGAGTGGTCACTGTTTTTGGTTTATATATATTTATATATATTTTTTTTTCATTTGTCTTGCACATTTAAAGAGTGGTTTGTGATTTGCATGGATTGGAGTGTTATGTATATGTTTAACAGTAATGCACTATAGATTATTTCTTTTTTTAAGGTTTTCGTGGAATAATTAGGATTATATTCCTTCTTATTGGATTGAAGAGGAAAATTTGGATTTTGGACTTTATTGGACACATTTGAGACTGAAATTGAATTGGACACTCTATGTTTTTATTTTATTTATTTTCAGATTTTCTTTGGGAAAACACGTGGTATATCACAAAAAGGTATATTTATTATATTGTACTTTCTAGGGAGAAAGTGTGACTTTTTGGTGGGAGTTGAGTTAAGGAGGTTATTTATTTATTAGTCTTGCATCATGGTCACGTGATAGTTTATGTTTTTGGGGTTGTATTCGATATAAGCAAAGAGAGATCACCCAAATACTTATTAGTATAACATTTAATAAAAGTAATGACAGATACAAATGACAAATATTAGAAAATATAACAAAAGTACTTAACTAAAGATGTTGTTTCCGCCATAGGTTCCCCCATTATATGGCATGGAGCGATGGATCAGGTTCAGACGCATGCCTCATGGCAGTTCTGAGTGAGACAAATATTTCCAGTCTAGCTGTGTGTTATGTACTGGACTTGTGTGTAAGGAATCGACAACCCACCCCCTTGCAAACAACATGATGACCTTCTGAGGAAAATGGCACATTTCTGAACGGAGAGTGGGCTGGCTTGTCCATATAGTCAAATTTTTTTGTTATTTAAGGTAATCAGACTGGCCTCATATAGCTCTTTAACCAAGGCTTGGAGGCAGTCTTAAACTTTAGTGAGCTATAATGTTATTAAGGAAATATGTAATATGCAATTTCCTTATCAAATGGTAAGAGAAGAGTTTCTTCTTATCGAAGCAGAGTCTGTTTTTTATTCCTTTTCTGAAAGTAAACTTATGAGCAATGTAAGGCTTATAGAGTTAGATAACTGATTCTCATCGAACCATCCAGTCTACTGGTGGGGGCCATGCCACCTATTTTTCTGTATATGGCTTAACCGCTTGCCTGCTGCCCTATAGTAGAAATTACTGCTACAGGGTGGCAGGGCTGTGCAAAACCACGTGTATGTATACGTAATTTGCATTTTCAGGTAGGGGGCGAGTGTGTGCTCGTGCGCCACCCTACTTGCATCACCATTGGTGGCTAGGCATGTTAATCACCAAGTCCCGGGCAGAATTTCCCCACTGGCACCCGTCGATCACCATGTAGAACTGACAGGGGAGAGACCTGTGTGTAAACAACATAGGTCTCTCTCCTTCCAGCAATGACATGTTGTGTATTTCCAGTATATATACCACCATTTGTAGACGCTATAACTTTCATGGAAACAAATTTATTTACATGTATTGGGATTTTTTTTTAGCAAAGACATGTAGCAGAATACATTTTGGCCTAAATGTATGAAGAAATGTGATAAAAAAAATTTTTTACTGGATATAGTTTTAGCAAAAAGTAAAAAATGTTGTTTTTTTTCAAAATTGTCAATTTTTTTTGTTTATAGTGCAATAAATAAAAACCACACAGGTGATCAAGTACCACCAAAAAAAAAGCTCTATTTGTGGGAACAAAGGATATAAATTTAATTTATGTACAGCGTTGCACGACCGCGCAATTGTCAGCTAAAGTAACACAGCTCTGTATCGCACAAAATGGCCTGGTCAGGAAGGGGGGTAAATCCTCTGGAGGGCAAGTGGTTAACA